AACATTTACTGATGAAGATCAAAGAGCACAACCTTCAGAATGGATTACAACTCAATGTACAGAAAATAAAATTCCTCACCACTGGACCAATAAACAACATTATTATCAGTGGAGAGAAGATTGAAGTTGTCAAGGACTTCATTCTTCTTGGATCAACTATCAACACTCATGGAAGCAGCAGTCAAGAAATCAAACAACGTATTGCATTAGGCAAATCTGCTGCACAAGACCTTTTTAAAGTGCTGAAGAACAAAGATGTCAGCTTGAAGACTAAGATGCACCTGACCCAAGCCATGTATTTTCAATAATCTCATATGCATGCGAAAGCTGGACAGTGAATAAGGAAGATGGTAAACGAATTGATGCTTTTAATTTATGGTGTTGGAGAATACTGAAAGTGCCATGGGCTGCCAAAAGAACCAACAGATCTGTGTTGGATAAAGTGCAGCTAGAGTGCTCCTTGGAGGACAAGATGGCCAAACTTCGTCTCTCATACTTCGGACATATTGTGAGGAGGGACCAGTCGCTGGAGAATATCATGTTTGGTAGGGTGAAGGGTCAGAGAAAAAGAGGAAGACCCCCAGCGAGACCGATTGGCAAAGTGGCAGCATCAATGGGCTTACGTGTGGCAACAATAGTGAGGTTGGCCCAGGATTGGGCAGTGTTTCTTTCTGCTGTGCAAAAGGTCGCTGTGAGTCAGTACTGACTCAATGGCACCTAACAACAACAACATGCTACCAAAGCTTCTTAGAAATAGGGGTTGTTGTTGTTGTTAAGTTCCATCAAGTCGGTTCCAACCCATAGCGACCCTATGTAGGGTTCCTGAGGAGCGGCTAGTGAACTTGAACCATAGACCTTACAGTCCAGCACATTAACCCACAGCACACACCAGGAATAGGAATAGGGTGACATAATTGTGGTTTTAATTCTATCTGTGCTTTGGTGCATGCTCAGGGAAACAGGAGACACTCCCCTGGCATCCCTGATGGCTACTCAGTTGGCTCATCTAGTCTTCACATACATCCAGCCACTAGCCAGATGCAGTGGTCAGCCCCTCTGGTCAGTGTGGAAACTAACTCGGCTCCAGGTTTGCATTACTAACAAGTTTCTCCCTAATTTGTCTCCAAGATTTAACCAGTGTCCAGTATTGTATCGGGTAATACTCTGGTGTAATCCATAGGGTTTTCTTTGGCTTATTTTCAGAAATAGATTGCCAGGTCTTTCTTCCGACAATTTACATTTCTAGGCACAATGTAAAGGAACCTGGTGGTGAGGCAGGTTACCTGTGAGACTGCTAACCACAAGGTCAGTTGTTTTAATCACCTGGAGAGGGAGAGGAGGCTGTCTTCTCCCATAAAGACTTACAGTGTTGGGAACCCTAAGGAGCAGTTGTACTGTCTTATAAAGTGGCTATGAGTTGAAATCAACGTACTAGCTGTGCGTTTTATTCGCAGTGCACTAGAGTTGCTCCACATTACAGTTCATACATGGTGTATTGTCAGTTGTTTTCATGTTATCCAATTTGGTGAGTGTATAGGAATAGCTCTATATGCTCTGACTCTGCATTTCCTTGATGAATATTAATGATGAATACTTTTCCAGGTGCTCATTGGTCATTTTGATACCCTCTTGTGAAGTACCTGTGTTCCAGTAGGTAAGTGTTGGACTGTGAGCCACAATGTCGGTGGTTCAAACCCACCAGCCGCTCTGTGGGAGAACAATGAGGCCGTTTGCTTTGGTCAAGGCTTGCAGCCTAGCGAACTGTTCCGCGGGAGAAAGATGGGGCTTTCTGCTCCCGTAAAGATTTACAACTTTGGAAACCCTACACAGGGTTGCTATGAGTCAGAACCGACTCCACAGTACATAACCAAACAACCAAACACTATGGCCCGTTCTACCCTGTCCTATAGACTCACTGTGAGTTGGAATGGACTTCATGGCACTGGGTTTGTTTTGATGTTCAAGTATTTTTCCCTTAAAAAAAAAATGACTTTTAGAAGTTCTTTAAATATTCCACTAGCTACAAGTCCTTTGTCCAATGTTGCTGTTGTTAGTTGCTGCCAAGTCAGCATGACTTGAGCAACAGAAAGGAATCTTGAGTGCTCCCAGGAGCATCCTCTTCACAATGATTGGAATGCTGGTTCACCATGTATTCTGAGTGCCTTCTGTCTTAGTTCTCTAGTAACAGATACGCCACAAGTGGATGGTTTTAGCCCCAGCTCTGGGGAAAGGCCCTCATCTTCTTTGAGCAGCTGTAGACCCAGCATTAATTGGAGATCTCCACATGTCTTGGTATCAATCTTTCGTTGGATCTAGGAGCCCTGGAAGTGTAGTGGATTGTGTGTTGGGCTGCTAACTGCAAGGTCAGTAGTTTGAATCTACCAGCTTTTCTGGGGGAGAAAGATGCGGTTTTCTTCTCCGTTTATGATTTGGAACCGACTCTAGGGCACACAACCACCACCAGAAGCTTCGTAGTTGCTTCAGTGAATGCACTTCATTCCTGAATCTTTTTTTTCTTGGTGGTAAAGGAGCTCTGGGTAGCATAGTGGTTACGAATCGGGCTGCTAACCTCAGGGACAGCAGTTTGAAACTACCAGCTGTTCCGCGGGAGAAAGACAAGGCTTTCTGCTCCCGTACAGCTTTACAGCCTCGGAAACCCTATGCAGGGTCATTATGAATTGGAACCGAGTCTGCAGCATATAACTGTTTTTGTTGTTAAGTGCTGTTGAGTTGGTTACAACTCATAGCGGACCTTATACAGAGTTTCCCAGGTGCAGCTGGTGAACTTGAACCTCATGGTTCAAACTGACCTTGAAGTCCAGCATATTCACCCAAAGCATCACACCAGGACTCCAGTAGGTCCCTCTTTCTTGGCTCTCTTAGGCCACATCCTTGGAGTCCTAATGTGGCCCTGTAGGATAAACAGGACCACAAGTTGGGAGACTCAAACCCACCAGCCCCTCCTCAGAAATAACATCAACAGACTGCACCCCTGGGAGACTCCCTTACATCTTGCAGGGTTGTGATGGGATTAAGCATATTGCAGCCCACCCTTGAGGCCTTTACTGGTTATCATCACATAACTGCCACATTACAGCAAACCACTGAGAATCATGACCCAGCCAAGTAGACACATATTTTGGGAGGACACAATTCAATCTATGACACCTTCCAATCCAGAGATTCATTATGTAGCACTGTGTCAGATAGTGTCCCATTGTGATCCACAAGGCTTGCATTGGCGAATTTTCTGGAAGTAGATAGCCAAGCTTTTCTTTCTAGTCTAAGTCTGGAAACGCCTATGAAACCTGTCCACTCTGCTGGCATTTAAAATATTGGTGGTGTAGGGACCAGCATCACAGCAACATGCAAGCCACCACAATATGACAAACTGACAGACACGGTGTGGAAATCTAAAGTTTGGTGACCTTATTGTGTCTCTCATAGCATTTGTTTTTTTGCAAATGTGTGTTTATTTAGCTATTTTCCCCACTGAGTGTAGCGCTGTAGGATAAGCACTTGGCTGCTATGTCTATTTGAATCACAAGGTCCATGGTTCAAATCTACCAGCTGCTCCTCAGAAACCCTATACAGGGTCACTATGAGTCAGAACCAACTCAACAATACCTAACAAAAACGTCCTTGAAAAAGTCTATGTAGTTCATACGGAAGGTGCTTAACTAAATACTGTTTAATAAGTACCTGACATTTAAGGAGCATCTGGTATAGTGCTGTAAGACAAGGACTGGACCACAAGGTCGGTTTGAACCCCAAGGTCAGTGGTTCAAACTTACCAGCTGCTACTTGGAAACCCTATACATAGTCACTGAGTAAGAACCAACTCGATGACACTTAACAACAACTTCTCCCAGGGATCTTCTTCCAGAGTGGTCCTTGGTGCAATACCTTAAGAATAATCAAAATTCAGTGAGATTTCACTAGCTTCTTCTAAGCAGTAACTCTATAGGTGTATGTTGCTGTCAGGTGCCGGCGAGTTGGCTCCCACTCAGAGTGACCCTATACACAACGGAACGAAACATTGCCTTGTCCTGCACCTCCTCACAATTGTTAGATTTGCGCCTACTGCAGATGCCACAGTGTCAGCCCATTTCATTGAGGGTCTTCCCTCCTGATAACATGTCGGAAGCATGTGAGACCATTTTGATTCGAGAAAAAGCAAACGACTGTAAGAAGCTAGGTACAATGAGACATCTGAAGAGAGGGGGATGAAATATAGATGATCACCCAATAGCCGATCTTAACATGACTGAACTCTCCATCTTTTACGGAGATCAAACTGATAGTTCACAAGAAAGGAGGTGAAACTTTGGGTGGGAAAAAAAAAGCCGTTCAAGTATGATTTTGATCAGGAATTTCTTTAAAGCGAACATTTGGTTTCATGAGTAAGAAGAACCCAAAAGTCAAAGCAAGTTATCTGTTATCAATATCTGACAAAACTTACTTGCTAGCCCCAGACCAAACACTTACTAGTTTACCTTGGGATTACAATATTCTCCACATGCTACTGCTGTGGGGGTTAAACCAGAAAATACATCTAAGGTTTTAGCACAATGATTCACTGGCTAACTCCATCGCTAAATTTTAATATTGATAAAAATTGTGGGGGGTGTCCACAACGCAGACACCCGCCAGCTCCTTGACAAGCGCACGCGCAACACCTCGCCCCGCCCACTGGCTGTAGCTTGAGCGCTTCTACGCCTGCGTGGTCCCTCGTATTCCAGCCGGGCCTGAGGTGAAGGGGCAGGGTCTCTGCAGTACGCCTGCGCCGAGAGACACCGTGAGCCGCGGGGGTGGAGCCGCGCAGGTGCGCTAGGAGCCCCGGCTCCGGAGCATAAACAAGAGCGGGGCCGGGATGAGGCGGCGGTTGACTATCGAGCAGCGAGTGGCGGCCACCTCGGCGGCGAACGGGGCCCGGCGCCGATCCTGAGCGCAGCCCGAGCCGCTAACCCTGCGCGTGAATCCGGCCGGCCGCCTCAGCCATGAATCTCGCCAGTCAGAGCGGCGAGGCCGGCTCCGGCCAGCTGCTCTTCGCCAACTTCAACCAGGACAACACGTAAGGCCGGGCTGGGGTCGGAGGTCGGAGGTCGAGGCCCGGGCGGGCATCCTCGCGCCGGGCTGAGCGATTGGAGCCAGGTCTCCCCGTGCCGAGGCGGATGGGGGCGTCCCCGGGGCGTGGAGGGAGGGCCCCCCTCGGGAACTCCGGGGGCCTGCCCCCAGACACAGGGGTCTCCCACCTCCTCAAGGTGGGCCTTGTCTTCGGCCTTTCCTTCTTGCCAAGTTCGGTGGGTTCTTCCCCTATGCCCCCACGGTCTTCCCTCTTTCCAGGCCCTTTCTCTGTTCTCCTGAGGGCCTCTTCCCACGTCTGTGTCCCTTCCTTTCTGGCCGTTCTCAGTGACAGGTGATTCTGGCGTGTTCTCCAGGCGAGAAGCGACCCCCAGGGGGACGTTGAAGAGAAGGGCCGGGGTCGTATAGTGCTTCAGGGCTGGGCCGTCCCTCCCCAGGGAAAGAGCCGTGGCATTCACCACCTCGCCCTCAGGGATTCTTCCAAAGCCCCCCTGTCTGATGATGACCCGCGAGGATGATGGATGGATGAGTTGAGGGGCTGGAAGGGAGCAGAGCCATCTTGGGAAGTGAGTAACAGGAAGTGATGTCAGAGGGGAGGAATGGGGCATATGACCTCACACAAAGTCCATGGTGGTGGTTGGGTTGGATGGCATCAGTCGAGTAGAAAAGGAGGGTTTGCTTTGTTTTTGTTTTTGATTAAAAGTTAATTGTGAAACAGCCAACCCGGAGTCGAGTTGGGTACGCACCAGGTGTACGTCACACCTCCTCAATGTGGTGGTTGGCTAAGGTGGGAGGCAATTGAGAGTTGGAAGGGAGCTGACCTTAATTACAGGAAGGAATGGAAGTTGAGAAAGGTTCAGAGCCTTGCCTGGAGCTTCCAAGTGGTTAGTATTGGGGGGCAAAACCAGAACCTAGTTTCCTCAGGGTTCTCCCAGTCCTCCTTCCACACTGGGTTGTTTATTTTTTTCCCTCGAGAGTAGGATTCTGAGAACAATGAATTTAGAAATTAGAATGATGACATTAGCTTATTAATGACTGCCCAGTTCTGTACAACCAGAACAAATCTGACAACCTGTTGGGAGAGTATTGCCAGCGTAATAGATTATGTAGAGCCCTGGTGTGGTGCTGTGGGTTAATGCGTTGGACTGCACAGTCTGTTTGAATAGCAAGGTCGACCCGATCAAGCTCACCAACTGCTTCTCGGAAACCCTATTCAGGATCACACTCTGGGTGGTAACCCACTCGACGGGACTTAACAACAGCAATAGGTTATGTTAGCCTGGGTAGAGAATCACAGCACCGTGGTGGTGAATTGATTAAGTGAATTGGCTGCTAACCAAAACGTTCGATCATTTGAACCCACCAGCTTTCTCCACGGAGATAGATAAGGCAGTCTGCTTTTGTGAAGATGTACAGCTTTGGAAATTATATGGGGACAGTTCCCTGTCCTCTAGGGTCGCTGAGTCAGAATTGACTTGATTAGGTTTAGTTTTGATTACTAGAGAAGAGGAAATCTCAAACCAGTTGTACTTTGGTTGTTAAGCCCTGGTGGTGCAGCTAGTAAGTGCTCAGCTCCTAACTGAAAGGTCAGTGGGTTGAACCCACCCAGATGCTTGCCAGGAAAAAGAGCTGGTGATCTGCTATCATCAAATTACAGCCCAGGAACCATATGGGGCAGTTCTCCTCTTGTCCTATGGGATCACCAGGAGTTGAAATTGACTTGATGGTGCATATGCCAACAATAAGTCTAGGGTTTTGAGACCAGTAAGAAAATAGCCCTGGTAACAGTAGTGAAGCACCTGCCTGCTAACCAAAAGGGCAGCAGGTCAGACTCATTACCAGCTGCTCCCTGGGAGACAGATTTAGCAGTCTGCTTCTGTTAAAGATTGTTGTTATTGCTTTAGAAATGCTATGAGGGCACTTCTTCTCTGTCCGATAGGATTGTTATGAGTCAGAATAAACCCAGGGGCAACAAGTTTCCATTTAGTTTTTTTTTAAGGTTTTTATTGTGGATTGAGTGAAAGTTTACAGGGCAGATCATCAGTTTTACATTCAACAAATCATACATCTTGTTTCATTACAAGGATGATAATCCCTTCCATGTACCATCAGTTAACTGTTTCTCTCTATTCACTTTAGCTCTTTTTTTAAAAAACACTCAGACATATATAGTAATTGACACCTCCAAAGGGCACATTCTGCAAGTCTGCCTCCTGGCTGCCATCTCTTAGTCCCTCATTCCCCATGAATCTAGAGTCCTCAGTTGCTCCCTCTCTCCATGTCCCCATCTCTGGTCTGTTTAGTTTTAAGAATAGCAGTAGTATGGTTTCCTATGCCTTTTCCAAACTAGAGGACTTCCTGTATGTTTTCTACTTCTCTGATGTTTTCACTACTTCCTAGATGTTACTGTGTTGTATATAGGCAAGCATTCTTTTTGGCTGGTGTCTCACATAGGCTACCAAGGCCCCTCTAGTGAGGAGAATGCCCCCTTGGTTTGGCCTGACGTAGGACCTTTTCACCCTTGAAATCATGCTTCTCCTGCCCATGACTAGTTCAAGGAAAGGTCATTGACTCCTTAGAGACCTTGCTGCAGTAGCACAGTGATCATAAGGATAGTAAGTTAGGGTTGTATCCCAGGTTGTCCCTGTGGACAGGCCTTGGGGTGGATATCACTCCCTCCCCATACACACAATGGTTTTGACTACAGGACAGGATGAAGAATGTTGACCTAAAATCCACCTTCCTGAGACCTGGGGTGAAAATGTAGAAGCCACTTCATGTAAAGTATGTATTATACAGTGGTTTACCTTTTATAAGGAGCTGTGTGGTGCACTGGGTTAAGTGCTTGGCTGCTAACAGCTGTTCTGACAGAAAGATAAGAGGCAATCAGCTTCCATCAGGCTGATAGTCTTGGAAACTTGGAGCAGTTCCACACTGTTGAACAGAGCTGCTAAGAGTCGGAATCGACTTGACAACCCTAGATTTTTGGTTTGTTCATTTTTCTTTGCCTTATAAATGTTTTAACATCAGGCCATTTATTGCATGCCTTACATCATCTGCCTAATGGTACTGGTAATATGATTAAACATTACACTATATGTTTTTTCATAAGGCTTCTTACACAAAAAGGTGACGATGTTTTATTTGCTTCTTGCCACGTTTCATTTATGTTTTCAACTAGAGCGTTAAAAGAGGCCTCAAGAACAGCTGGTCTGCTCCTTGCACCGGTACTTGAACTTACGACGTCAATTTCATAGCGACCTTACAAACCCTAGCAGGACAGTGTAGGGGTTCTCACACTCTTAGGCTTTACTGGAGCAGCCTGTCTCATTTTCCTCCTGCAGAGTAGCGCGTGGGTTGAAACGGCTGATTTGGAATCAGCAGCCCAATGCTTAACCGACTGCCACCAGGGCTCTTTCACTGGAAGTTGTTGTTGTTATGTGCCGTCGAGTCGATTCTGACCCATAGCAACCCTGTACAGGGTTTCCAAGGAGTGACTGGTGAGCTTGAACCGCCAACCTTGCGATTCCAACAACTTTGCAGTCTGGTGTATTAACCCACAGTGCCACACCAGGACTCCGAACAGGTAGTAAATTTCTTCAGGTGCTCACCACTCAGTTTGAGGAAGTCTTGATTCAGCACACTCTGTAGTCTATGTGGGACTTCAAAAAGTTCATAGAAAATGTGAATTGAAAGATAATGGAGTGTGTTTCCCTGAACTTTTTTAAGCCACCTCATACGTTTCTAAAAGGGATTTGGCTTTCATGGTTCTTGCCTATAGAGTTGACTTCTGGAAGAGTTCTGGGGATAGAAACATTAAAAAACTAGTTTGCTCTGATTGCTTCCTTCAGTGATAGTCCTGGGAAGGTCTCCTCTGCACATGGAGGGTTTGGGAAGTAGATGGCTCTTATGGAACCTTCAACCTTAAAGTCCTCCTTCACTGCCAGTTTAGGCTAGAAGTCCAAATTCAGGGTGCTCTAGGGCATAGTGTTCTCACTATCAACTCTGTCTGCTTTCCACATTCCTTGGTGATCTTGTGTTTTGGTATCAATCTTCCTCTGGATTTAGGACCTTCACAGTGCAGGGACCCTAGGTTCAAAGGATAAACTCCACTCCTAGTTTTTCTTTCTTGGTGGCATCTGAACTCCCTTTCTCTACTCACTTCTCTCTCCTATAGTGTCTTGTAAGATAAAAGGTGTTTCAGGCTACACCCCTAGGGAACTCCCTTACATTGATTAGGGTTGTGATGGAATGGGTATAATAGCCCATCCTTTTACTGGTTTATCACATCACATTACATCATGGGAGATTATCATGTAATTGCTATGTTAATGACCTCACTACGCAACTGCCAAACTCCTTAGAATCATGGCCCAGCCAAGCTGACACATATTTTGGAGGACCCGGATAAAATCCATGACACTCCCAGAATCCTGTGGTGCTCTGTGAAGAAGATGAGGAAAGCTTTCAGGGATTGGTAGAGGCAAAAAGGAAGCTTAGAAAAAGGTGTGGCTTGCATTTTTGGTGTTCAGTAGAAATCAGGAGTCCTAGTGTGACACTGTGGATTAATGTCCTGGACTGCAAGGTTGCTTTGAACCGCAAGGTCGGAGGTTCAAGCTCACCAGCTGCTGCTTGGAAACCCTATACAGGGTTGCTGTGAGTCAGTACTGACTCTACTTAACAGCAACAAGAAGTGGAAATCTGTAGATTGAATTCAGGAGAAAACCAGTTGCCTTCAAATTGATTCTTAACTCAGTGACCCCTCAAAAACCTTACAGAATGCAGGAAAAACTGCATTCTGTAAGGTTTTCAAGGCTGTGACCTTAGTTAAAGATGTAAATGAAACACAGCATTTATGTTTTCAAAACCAGTAAAACGTCAGTCAAGATATCTTAAAAGATTTTAACTTTTAAGATGGGAGCAAATGAGAAAGAAAACACTAGCAACCCAATTTTGGAAGGAACAAGTAGTAAGAGGTAAAGAAATTCT